GCTGAGTGTTGTTGCCATGTTGGTTTGTATGTTGTTGAGTGTTGTTGCCATGATGGTTTGTATGTTGTTGAGTGTTGTTGCCATGATGGTTTGTATGTTGTTGAGTGTTGTTGCCATGATGGTTTGTATGTTGCTGAGTGTTGTTGCCATGATGGTTTTGTATGTTGTTGAGTGTTGTTGCCATGATGGTTTGTATGTTGTTGAGTGTTGTTGCCATGATGGTTTGTATGTTGTTGAGTGTTGTTGCCATGTTGGTTTTGTATGTTGTTGAGTGTTGTTGCCATGATGGTTTGTATGTTGTTGAGTGTTGTTGCCATGATGGTTTGTATGTTGTTGTTGAGTGTTGTTGCCATGATGGTTTGTATGTTGTTGAGTGTTGTTGCCATGATGGTTTGTGTATGTTGTTGAGTGTTATTTGCCATGATGGTTTGTATGTTGTTGAGTGTTGTTGCCATGATGGTTTGTATGTTGCTGAGTGTTGTTGCCATGATGGTTTTGTATGTTGTTGAGTGTTGTTGCCATGATGGTTTGTATGTTGTTGGAGTGTTGTTGCCATGTTGGTTTTGTATGTTGTTGAGTGTTGTTGCCATGATGGTTTGTATGTTGCTGAGTGTTGTTGCCATGATGGTTTGTATGTTGTTGAGTGTTGTTGCCATGATGGTTTGTATGTTGTTGAGTGTTGTTGCCATGATGGTTTGTATGTTGTTGAGTGTTGTTTGCCATGTTTGCCATGATGGTTTGTATGTTGTTGAGTGTTGTTGCCATGATGGTTTGTATGTTGTTGAGTGTTGTTGCCATGATGGTTTGTATGTTGTTGAGTGTTGTTGCCATGATGGTTTTGTATGTTGTTGAGTGTTGTTGCCATGATGGTTTGTATGTTGTTGAGTGTTGTTGCCATGATGGTTTGTATGTTGTTGAGTGTTGTTGCCATGATGGTTTGTATGTTGCTGAGTGTTGTTGCCATGATGGTTTGTATGTTGTTGAGTGTTAGTGTGTTGTTGCCATGATGGTTTTGTATGTTGTTGAGTGTTGTTGCCATGTTGGTTTGTATGTTGTTGAGTGTTGTTGCCATGATGGTTTGTATGTTGTTGAGTGTTGTTGCCATGATGGTTTAGTGTATGTTGTTGAGTGTTGTTGCCATGATGGTTTGTATGTTGTTGCTGAGAGTGTTGTTTGCCATGATGGTTGGTTTGTATGTTGTTGAGTGTTGTTGCCATGATGGTTTGTATGTTGTTGGTGTTGTTGCCATGATGGTTTTGTATGTTGTTGAGTGTTGTTGCCATGATGGTTTTGTATGTTGTTGAGTGTTGTTGCCATGATGGTTTGTATGTTGTTGAGTGTTGTTGCCATGATGGTTTGTATGTTGTTGAGTGTTGTTGCCATGATGGTTTGTATGTTGTTGAGTGGTTTTGTATGTTGTTGAGTGTTGTTGCCATGATGGTTTGTATGTTGCTGAGTGTTATTTGCCATGATGGTTTTGTATGTTGTTGAGTGTTGTTGCCATGATGGTTTGTATGTTGTTGAGTGTTGTTGCCATGTTGGTTTGTATGTTGTTGAGTGTTGTTGCCATGATGGTTTTGTATGTTGTTGAGTGTTGTTGCCATGATGGTTTGTATGTTGTTGAGTGTTGTTGCCATGATGGTTTGTATGTTGTTGAGTGTTGTTGCCATGTTGGTTTGTATGTTGTTGAGTGTTGTTGCATGATGATGGTTTGTATGTTGCTGAGTGTTGTTGCCATGATGGTTTGTATGTTGTTGAGTGTTGTTGCCATGATGGTTTTGTATGTTGTTGAGTGTTGTTGCCATGATGGTTTGTATGTTGTTGAGTGTTGTTGCCATGATGGTTTGTATGTTGTTGAGTGTTGTTGCCATGATGGTTTGTATGTTGTTGAGTGTTGTTGCCATGATGGTTTGTATGTTGTTGAGTGTTGTTGCCATGATGGTTTGTATGTTGTTGAGTTTGTTGTTGCCAGTGATGGTTTGTATGTTGTTGAGTGTTGTTGCCATGATGGTTTGTATGTTGTTGAGTGTTGTTGCCATGATGGTTTGTATGTTGTTGAGTGTTGTTGCCATGATGGTTTGTATGTTGTTGAGTGTTGTTGCCATGATGGTTTGTATGTTGTTGAGTGTTGTTGCCATGATGGTTTGTATGTTGTTGAGTGTTGTTGCCATGATGGTTTGTATGTTGTTGAGTGTTGTTGCCATGATGGTTATGTTGTTGTATGTTGTTGAGTGTTGTTGCCATGATGGTTTGTATGTTGTTGAGGTTGTTGTTGCCATGATGGTTTGTATGTTGTTGAGTGTTGTTGCCATGATGGTTTGTATGTTGTTGAGTGTTGTTGCCATGATGGTTTGTGTATGTTGTTGAGTGTTTGTTGCCATGATGGTTTGTATGTTGTTGAGTGTTGTTGCCATGATGGTTTGTATGTTGTTGAGTGTTTATTTGCCATGATGGTTTGTATGTTGTTGAGTGTTGTTGCCATGATGGTTTGTATGTTGTTGAGTGTTGTTGCCATGATGGTTTGTATGTTGTTGAGTGTTGTTGCCATGATGGTTTGTATGTTGTTGAGTGTTGTTGCCATGATGGTTTGTATGTTGTTGAGTGTTGTTGCCATGATGGTTTGTATGTTGTTGAGTGTTGTTGCCATGATGGTTTGTATGTTGTTGAGTGTTGTTGCCATGATGGTTTGTATGTTGCTGAGTGTTGTTGCCATGATGGTTTGTATGTGGTTTGAGTTGTTTGTGTTATTTGCCATGTTGGTTTGTATGTTGTTGAGTGTTGTTGCCATGATGGTTTGTATGTTGTTGAGTGTTGTTGCCATGATGGTTTGTATGTTGCTGAGTGTTGTTGCCATGATGGTTTGTATGTTGTTGAGTGTTGTTGCCATGATGGTTTGTATGTTGCTGAGTGTTGTTGCCATGATGGTTTGTATGTTGCTGAGTGTTATTTGCCATGATGGTTTGTATGTTGTTGAGTGTTGTTGCCATGTTGGTTTGTATGTTGCTGAGTGTTGTTGCCATGATGGTTTGTATGTTGCTGAGTGTTGTTGCCATGATGGTTTGTATGTTGTTGAGTGTTGTTGCCATGATGGTTTGTATGTTGCTGAGTGTTGTTGCCATGATGGTTTTGTATGTTGCTGAGTGTTGTTGCCATGTTGGTTTGTATGTTGTTGAGTGTTGTTGCCATGATGGTTTGTATGTTGTTGAGTGTTGTTGTCGTGATGGTTTGTATGTTGTTGAGTGTTGTTGCCATGATGGTTTGTATGTTGTTGAGTGTTGTTGTCGTGATGGTTTGTATGTTGTTGAGTGTTGTTGCCGTGATGGTTTGTATGTTGTTGAGTGTTGTTGCCATGATGGTTTTGTATGTTGCTGAGTGTTGTTGCCATGATGGTTTGTATGTTGTTGAGTGTTGTTGCCATGATGGTTTGTATGTTGTTGAGTGTTGTTGCCATGATGGTTTGTATGTTGTTGAGTGTTGTTGCCATGATGGTTTGTATGTTGTTGAGTGTTGTTGCCATGATGGTTTGTATGTTGTTGAGTGTTGTTGCCATGATGGTTTGTATGTTGTTGAGTGTTGTTGTTGCCATGATGGTTTGTATGTTGTTGAGTGTTGTTGCCATGATGGTTTGTATGTTGTTGAGTGTTGTTGCCATGATGGTTTGTATGTTGCTGAGTGTTGTTGCCATGATGGTTTGTATGTTGTTGAGTGTTGTTGCCATGTTGGTTTGTATGTTGTTGAGTGTTGTTGCCATGATGGTTTGTATGTTGTTGAGTGTTGTTGCCATGATGGTTTGTATGTTGTTGAGTGTTGTTGCCATGTTGGTTTGTATGTTGTTGAGTGTTGTTGCCATGATGGTTTGTATGTTGTTGAGTGTTGTTGCCGTGATGGTTTGTATGTTGCTGAGTGTTGTTGCCGTGATGGTTTGTATGTTGTTGAGTGTTGTTGCCATGTTGGTTTGTATGTTGCTGAGTGTTGTTGCCGTGATGGTTTGTATGTTGCTGAGTGTTGTTGCCATGATGGTTTGTATGTTGCTGAGTGTTGTTGCCGTGATGGTTTGTATGTTGCTGAGTGTTGTTGCCGTGATGGTTTGTATGTTGCTGAGTGTTGTTGCCATGTTGGTTTGTATGTTGCTGAGTGTTGTTGCCGTGATGGTTTGTATGTTGCTGAGTGTTGTTGCCGTGATGGTTTGTATGTTGTTGAGTGTTGTTGCCATGATGGTTTGTATGTTGCTGAGTGTTGTTGTCGTGATGGTTTGTATGTTGCTGAGTGTTGTTGCCATGATGGTTTGTATGTTGTTGAGTGTTGTTGCCATGATGGTTTGTATGTTGCTGAGTGTTGTTGCCATGATGGTTTGTATGTTGTTGAGTGTTGTTGCCATGATGGTTTGTATGTTGTTGAGTGTTGTTGCCGTGATGGTTTGTATGTTGCTGAGTGTTGTTGCCATGATGGTTTGTATGTTGTTGAGTGTTGTTGCCTTGATGGTTTGTATGTTGCTGAGTGTTGTTGCCATGATGGTTTGTATGTTGCTGAGTGTTGTTGCCATGATGGTTTGTATGTTGTTGAGTGTTGTTGCCATGATGGTTTGTATGTTGTTGAGTGTTGTTGCCGTGATGGTTTGTATGTTGCTGAGTGTTGTTGCCATGATGGTTTGTATGTTGCTGAGTGTTGTTGCCATGATGGTTTGTATGTTGTTGAGTGTTGTTGCCATGATGGTTTGTATGTTGCTGAGTGTTGTTGCCGTGATGGTTTGTATGTTGCTGAGTGTTGTTGCCGTGATGGTTTGTATGTTGCTGAGTGTTGTTGCCATGTTGGTTTGTATGTTGCTGGGTGTTGTTGTCGTGATGGTTTGTATGTTGCTGAGTTGTTGTTGCCGTGATGGTTTGTATGTTGCTGGGTGTTGTTGTCGTGATGGTTTGTATGTTGCTGAGTGTTGTTGTCGTGATGGTTTGTATGTTGCTGAGTGTTGTTTCTATGTACTGAACCTTGACACTGTGCTGCAGGTGAAGAGCATTGACTTCATAATCCTCGGGGCCGTGATGTCCACCATGGAACCTCTCCTGGACGTCACCGTCACACAGATGGACGCTGCTGACATGGTCAGGGGGAAGGAAGTGTACGTGGACACCTGCCAGTTCTTCTTGATAGCTGGACCAGTCTCCTTCATCGTCAGCTTGTTCGGCTTCTTCGGCGCTCGGCAGAGGAAACGCATATCCCTGGCTTTGGTGAGTTGGCTGTTGAAGCGGCGTGTGTGTGCGCGCGTGCGTGCGTCTTTACGTAATGACAACCATACGACAGTTCAGCATGACGCAATGTACTGAAACCCATCCGACCAGTCCCATGAACACCGAGTATTACGCAGGTAACATCATTATATTCATGGTTTGGGATCGAACCCAGACGTTCCGCTCTCCCGGCAGACGCCAACTCCACGTCAGCGTGGACGGGTTTAGAAAGCTACGAATAGTAACATTCCTCATGGCCTCCATACTGTTCCACTGGGGTTATTGTGCCTGACATTGGACTTGTATAGTGTCTGTGAATTACAATGAAGGGATGTATATCTGTGAAAAGCTTATGAAGACAGCTTCCATTTGCTGTACGGCATGACACATCTCCAACGTAAACCAAACATTATAAAACACGTGCTTCAGGGGGCGTAACCTCGGTAAAATGTAGGGTCAAGTTGGACTTTGTTCCATACCACCGATTTGTTATGTGTTATAAATGGGATGGGTTCTAGGGTTACTCTGTTGAAACCTATTCTGTTGCAAGCTTGGATATAGATTATTGTTCATATATACATTCACTTTGTTAAAAGAAATGTTTTAACCACATTTTCATCAACCAACTTATGCTACGTGAGATTCACAAACCACCGATAAAATATAACATTGTTTTCAAAACGTTCGACTTTTCGGCACGAGGAGTTGCTCAGGATGTACACTCGTGGTTGTACATGCATCTTGTCTGACGTCTCCTGCGTCACTGATGCCATCATTTCTCTTTCAGTACATCCTACTGCAGGTTATCCTCGTTATCATCGTCGTTGTCTACAGCATGGTCCGCATCCCGACTCCCTTCGAGGTAGGTGACATGGACCGTACTCACGTGACTCCACCGCTGGACCGTCACGTGGTTTGAGGACATCAAGTAGGTGATTCATGATGACATACCAACAGATCTGTTAAATATCAAGTATCAAAATGTTTCGTTTTATTTTAAGCATTATCTCAAAGCATTATTATTTTTCAAATGTCGCCTTCCTTCACACTTCTGTGATTTAGGTCATGCCATTAAAATACTTAGCAGCGTTCGGAGAAACCTTCCAGTCCTTCCATACTACGTAATGTTCAGAAAATATCGGAAACCTGTAAAATATTTGCTGGTAAATTATACAAGTGGCCACCGAGAGAACCGAGTCTGTTACACCAGCTATACCATAACGATACGTGTACAAGATATGTTTGACTCAAAGACAGCAGCTGCCATGACAACGTAATGACATCACGCTGACATGACGACATGTTTGTTTGGAACAGAACCCGGACAGCAAGTGGCAGCAGTTGTCCAACTTACTGATGGCCACAGTCATTCTGGTGTGTGCAATACAGGTAAATACGTTACACCTGTGTCTACAATACTGGTAAATATGTAACATCTGTGTCTACAATACAGGTAAATAGGTTACACCTGTGTCTACAATACAGGTAAATACGTTACACCTGTGTCTACAATACAGGTAAATACGTTACACCTGTGTCTACAATACAGGTAAATACGTTACACCTGTGTCTACAATACAGGTAAATACGTTACACCCTGGTGTCTACACAGGTAAATAGGTTACAGGTAAATACAGGTAAATAGGTTACACCTGTCTCTACAATACAGGTAAATAGGTTACACCTGTGTCTACAATACAGGTAAATACGTTACACCTGGTGTCTACAATACAGGTAAATACACCTGGTCTACGTTACACCTGTGTCTACGTTACACAATACAGGTAAATAGGTTACCTGTGTCTACAATACAGGTAAATGCAATACACCTGTGTCTACAATACAGGTAAATAGGTTACACCTGTGTCTACAATACAGGTAAATACGTTACACCTGTGTCTACAATACTGGTAAATACGTTACATCTGTCTCTACAATACTGGTAAATACGTTACACTACAATACAGGTTACACCTAATGCAGGTAAATGTCTACAATACAGGTAAATAGGTTACACCTGTGTCTACAATACAGGTAAATACGTTACACCTGTGTCTACAATACAGGTAAATACGTTACACCTGTGTCTACAATACAGGTAAATAGGTTACACCTGTGTCTACAATACAGGTAAATAGGTTACACCTGGTGTCTACAATACAGGTAAATAGGTTACACCTGTGTCTACAATACAGGTAAATACGTTACACCTGGTGTCTACAATACAGGTAAATAGGTTACACCTGTGTCTACAATACAGGTAAATACGTTACACCTGTGTCTACAATACAGGTAAATACGTTACACCTGGTGTCTACAATACAGGTAAATACGTTACACCTGTGTCTACAATACAGGTAAATACGTTACACCTGTGTCTACAATACAGGTAAATACGTTACACCTGGTGTCTACTACAATACAGTGTCTACAATACGTTACGTTACACCTGTGTCTACAATACAGGTAAATAGGTTACACCTGTGTCTACAATACAGGTAAATACGTTACACCTGTGTCTACAATACAGGTAATAGGTTAGACCTGGTGTATGCAATACAGGAAAACTTGTTACAATGGCAACAATATTGATGAATAACTATCAACGTGTACGTGGCTGCATGGCTTAAAGACTGCCGATGTACACGTGGCTGTATGGCTTAAAGACTGCCGATGTACACATGGCTGTATGGCTTAAAGACTGCCGATGTACACATGGCTGCATGGCTTAAAGACTGCCGATGTACACATGGCTGCATGGCTTAAAGACTGCCGATGTACACGTGGCTGTATGGCTTAAAGACTGCCGATGTACACGTATTGTATGGGCTGTAGGGCTTAAAGACTGCCGATGTACACATGGTTGTATGGCTTAAAGACTGCCGACGTACACATGGTTGTACGTGGCTGGGCTTAAAGACTGCCGATGTACACGTGGCTGTATGGCTTAAAGACTGCCGATGTACACGTGGCTGTATGGCTTAAAGACTGCCGATGTACACGTGGCTGCTATGGCTTAAAGACTGCCGATGTACACGTGGCTGTATGGCTTAAAGACTGCCGATGTACACGTGCTGATGTATGTACGTACGTGGCTTAAAGACTGCCGATGTACACGTGGCTGTATGGCTTAAAGACTGCCGATGTACACGTGGCTGTATGGCTTAAAGACTGCCGATGTACACGTGGCTGTATGGCTTAAAGACTGCCGATGTACACGTGGCTGTATGGCTTAAAGACTGCCGATGTACACATGGCTTAAAGGCCGATGTAGGGCTTAAAGACTGCCGATGTACACATGGCATGTACATATCACTGCCCGTGTGGAGGTGATGAATGTTCAATCATACATTGTGTTACACATTCCCATGAAAGGAGAACGGCCCATGATATGTATTAATGTATCTTCGTTCTGTATGAAATAGTTATTAGCGTGGAGTTCCTATGCTGCTGTGATAGACACAACTGTGCTGTATATATGTGCCGTACAGGTCATATTATCGGATACTCTAGGAGGATCTCATTACAAAATAACACTTTATAATTGAACGTTTGTATTGGACTGCTTCCACCATGAGAGACTATCACACGTTATATCTATACATGTTCCAGGGCATTGCTATCTTCCTGGCCATCGTGGTCATCTCGACCCTGCGAGAGAATGACAAAGTTCACCCAAGTCCACGTGAGTGTGTTGAACAGTAACTTTGCCGCTCACCAAGAGCGGTTGCCTACCGTCGTATGTAATCAAGCAAACACAGTCTGCATTTTATCGTAAGACAAGTTACCAACACAACGTTCACCTACTCTGCCGCTGCCTGTTTCCTTCTTCAGATACGTCGTCACAGAAAGCAGAGAGTAGATCCCATGTTGATCCTGCGAATGGAAATTAATATTATCCATTTGCCAAAATATACAGCAGGTATATGGTGCCGCTCTGTCCTACTAGTCACGTTCAACAGATAAGTGTTTTAAAATACGTATTTTCTTGCTCTTTGATTTAATAACTAAAGTGATCACGCCAAATGGGTAGGACTGTACATATATATCAGCCACACAAAAAGGAACTGACAGGAAATCAAACTATACATTGGAACAACATGTGTATACAAATACACATGTATACATAGTAATTAGTAAAGGGAATAGAAGACATATGCATGTGCTACGTTTCGTGATCTCAGGGCCGTGATCTCATTTCTGGTGTCCCCCGCCGTGATGTTGCTGGAATATTGCTAAAAGCGGCGTAAAACCAAACTCAGTCAGTCAGTCTTGTGATCTCAAATTCCATCTCCTAAACTCACATGGAAACTCTTCATTGTTTTTTTACATTTGCATGTTTATGGAGAATTGTAACGATGCTTATTTTGTTTTTGTGGCTGGTCTATATAGTTCTGCTGGAGGATGTCGCTCAGTAAGTGTTTCATGGGGAATTAAATAAGCAGGCTGTCAAGTTATATATTGTTGTCGTATTTACTTGTAGTATTTGACTTCCATGTGTCTTTTTGCGTATATACTCGGATTTAGGGTCGTACAACAGAAGGCGGCATCGTTGACGTAATAGTTGCACCGTTACATTGTTGACGTGTATGGGGACACCATTATAATCCGTAATATGGGCAGCGTTGTTGACGAAATAGAAACGACATTGTTGACGTAATAGTAGCACAATTGTGGACGTAATAGAGACACCACAGTTGACGTAATGGGGGCAACCTTGGTGGCGTAAAAGACATATTGTTGACGTAATGGGGCATTATTGTTGACTTAATAGGGACACCATTATTGACGTAATATGGGGCAGCATTGTTGACGTAATAGGACACAATGAATGACGTCACACAGTAAGGTTGAGGCGCTAGCCTCTCATTGTCATGTTTAGTGCCATGTGTCTATCGTCTCTCTTTGGTCACCTCGCACCTGGGAGAATCATACATTTCAGGAAAGTAATGATACTCAAAAGTAAAATGATGTAACCTGTATGTTATAAATATTTTGCAATTGTTTGTGTACACCCAGGTGAGGGTCATGCAACAGACAGATCCCAACGTCCCCAGCCAAACTTCAGACGGGGGCAGTTACCATTAATCGTGACAAGCTGGGCTGACGACAGTTGACACACCCTCAGTCATCAGCATCAACACACGACGAATCAGATACGACAGTTGTGCAATCAAGATCAAACTAAAACGTCTGGATTGTTCCGCTAACCGTCAGAGGACGACTACCCAGAGTGCTAACTGTGTCAATTGTGACGTCAATACAGTGACGTCATGTACTGTGTCCGCACAACCCGCCCTGTAGTTGTGTTTCTAAGATACTTCGGTGAAAGATCAAAGGCGCAGACAGTACTTTATCAGACGATAATGTTCACTTTTTGCATTACGTCAAAATGTATTGGCGTCACTGCGCCATTCTAGTCTGCCCCTCGTAATCGAACAATTTTGCATTAAGTCACAATGTAAACGACGTCACGATGCATGTCAGTTATCATCGCCTCGTACAGCCTCCTGCAGTAAACTACCCCGTTGCATCCCGTTTCTTGGTTTGCAGTTGCTTCACGTATCTAACATCACTGGTGGAAACATTACGTTTATGTTTTCCGACGGTTAAAATGTCTCAATTCGACTCACAAGTTTTCAGCAACACGGTAACGTTCGCAATGTTTACATTCCCACAATGCAATCGTGGAATGTCGCTTGACTACTCAGCTTCATCTGGATGTACTGATCTGAACTTACGTTGGTAGTAGAAATGCAACGTTAATATTGCCCCATATGGTTTACGTTAACCACAGATGTAATTAAAATAATTTAGAGAAGATATTTAATCCGAACGTAAACCGTCATCAAACTGTTTATCATTTGTTTTTTCCGGTAACGTTCGTCTTAACGTAGGAGCGCAGACACGTCAATAGAACAGCGCGCCAGTCAGCCCTGTGCAAGGATTCTTAATTTATGTAACCGACACCGTCGTTTGTTTTCTGCATTAGATTAATCGTAAATATCCTTAGAAAGTATTAAGTATGGCATCTTAGAAAAGAAATACAGTTCGCTCTACCACCATGTATAGTGCAATAAAGCACACTTTCGCCCTAAACCATTATAACGTTAAAGCACTCGGACTCAAGCGTCCTCGTACTTTTACTATAATATACTCATGCCAATGACGGTTGTCATCCCCCTCCCCACCCCACACCCCCTCTCCAATAAAAAAATTGAAGGGGGTGACAACCATTATTAGCATGAGTATAGTTCAGGGCTTTGTTACACTATACATGGTGGTAGAGCGAACTGTATTTCTTAAGTACCCGCCCGACATACGAATGTTGTGTAGGTTGCAGCACTGATTGTATTGGTTTACTGTGCGTGTTTTACCTGTCTTTCAAAATCTGATGAATCAGTGTAAAAAGACATGTCTGAGGCGATTCCCTGTATTTGGACTTGTACCCATGGTTCTGCTGTATATGGACTTGACGTGTGTTTGTGTGGCATACGGTACGATCGCCTTGTCGTGAAACCTGGCTTGGTCTTCAGTATTTAATAGTAATCAAAACAAACACGAGCTTATGAAACACTCAGGATCGTACAACGGACTCTGCTGTTCTGTTGAGACGCCTCATAATTACGGATTATTTTATTTACATCTAACTGACCTTAATTGAGACAGTCTAACGGAAGTATCAAAACATGTGCCTGCACGAGTATGACGTGTCAACAAGTACTGCACTCCTTGATTCCTTGGTCCTTTGGCAGTAGCACGAGTGTGTTTTATAAACATTGTAACGAAACGAAGTATATATACATAACAAAGTATACACCTGGTGTTTTGGGACTATTCCCATTAAAACCATAAATATTTTGCTAGCAATGTTTTAATTGGGTACAATATTGGTGTTTTGGAAACACTTGCAATGTCAGTGACAAGGCAGATTCAAAACACTTTTAAAAATAATGCTGTTTTCAAGAAAATATTTTACCAAAGAACCACCACGTCAGTTTATATACCATCGTCACTACATAGAAAATGTTGTTTTACGCACCAATATAACACTATATATATGACGACTGCTTGTAAATAAACGAGTGGGGAGTACCTGACCCAGTGGTTGATAACACGAGCACGCCGCATTCAGCACTTGATCTGGATTACATTTCAGAATTCCCAGGTAGTCATGAAATACATACAAATATGAACACGAAGTACTGATGAGTGATGGGTTTGAGTACCCATGGTTTTACCCGGGTGCCGCCATCCCTTTAACCACGAAAATACCAGCAACATCACGGCGGGGTTCCATTCTTCCTACAAAGTCACACAGAAATGGGTTTCACGCTTACCAACACAATGTACCCAGTGAGTGAACGGAATTCGAACCCGGGTGTTCAGCGTGACGAATTAACCATGAACCACGAGGCTACCACACCAGCAATATTCCAGGTACTGACGCAATGTACCAGACAATCCAGTGATCAACAGCATAGGAGACCTTGTTCCATTCTTCCTATACAAGAGTCAATAACGAGTGACAATCCAGTGATCAACAGCATGACCACACCTGAGCGAGTGAGTGGGTTTACGCCGCACTAAGCAATATTCCAGCTATATGGCGACGGTCTGTAAATAATCGAGTCTGGACCAGACAATCCAGTGATCAACAGCATGAGCGACCACACCTGAGCGAGTGAGTGGGTTTACGCCGCACTCAGCAATATTCCAGCTATATGGCGACGGTCTGTAAATAATCGAGTCTGGACCAGACAATCCAGTGATCAACAGCATGAGCGACCACACCTGAGCGAGTGAGTGGGTTTACGCCGCACTCAGCAATATTCCAGCGAGTCTGATCGAGTGAGTTTACGCCTGAGCGAGTGAGTGGGTTTACGCTCAGCAGCAATATTCCAGCTATATGGCGACGGTCTGTAAATAATCGAGTCTGACCAGACCAGTGACAATCCAGTGATCAAGCAGCATGAGCGACCACACCGAGTCTGGACCAGCAGTGATAACAATGGGTGTCACTTCCGCAATATACCTGCAGTAGCACGGCGGGAGCACACCAGAAAATGGGCTCCACGCGTCGAACCCGGTCCTCCGCCATAACGTAGCTTTAACCACTTGGCCACCCCACAGCCGTGGGTACACCTGAGACACGGCGGATGGTTGTTAGCGTGAACACAACAAAGCCCGTCGATCCAGTGTAATACTAATATATCTCAAACAAATCACAAATATGACATTAACATGGATTTGTGGGTGACAAGAGATTATCTTTAACCATCGGCCGTCCTAAAGTAGTAGTACTCTCGTTAAAAGAGCATTGAAATACCCGATATAACAATGATATCGCAAAGAAATGAAAGGTCTTCTTCAACGACAGTTGGACCGTGTTTGGCAGCTTGACTCCTGAGAGTTTTAGGGACTTCAGTCCTGCCCCAATTCGAAACACAAGGGATACATGTGGCCTCACCTTAGGCACTTGAGTGTGTTCACAATTGCCTCTGTTCACCCAGCAGAAAATGGGTACCCGGTGGGATAAGTCATGTGACTATAACCTTCTAGCGCCACACAGGCAGCTAGCTTGGGTTATCCGTGGTAATAATGAACTGCACTATGAGCTCAGAGCTGTCGATGTGGATTTAGCGCAATATAAATGGACTCATTATTATTGCTAAAGGGGAGGAAGGAAACATCTAACAGTACAATAGTTGATCAGGGATGGGAAAAAACAGAACTCAATTACCACTAACAGGATATCGGAATGAACCGTTCTCTAAAACCTGAGATACTCCAGCATGAAAAGTCAGTGAATTGTTTTCAGGTACATGTACCCAGCTAACACGAAAATGAAATAACACATCCCCAAAACATTTCACGAAATGTTCCAGAAATGTTTTATTATGTTTGTATGGTTACAGAAATGTTTTGGGAAATTTTTAACGTTTAAATGTTATGTTTATGAAATGATTTCCTGTAATGTTTTTGTGAGATGTTTTTGAAATGTTTCAAAAACATGTTTAATTTACGTGATTTTGTATGGTCGCAGAAATGTTTCTCTGAATATTTGGTTGTAACATTTGTTTATTAATGTATTCCTGTAACGTATTCACGTATATTGTAACGTTCTTTCGAGATATGTTGCGGAAATGTTTAAAGAAAATATTTTAAAAACATTTTAGATCGTTGTGAAACATTTAATAACTTTACGGAAACGTTTTGATGAAAATATTTTTGAAAAACTATTTTGGAACCTTAACCTTATGAAAGTGTGTCGAAAATATTTTGTGTTTGTCTAGAACTTGGGGACGGTCACAGTAACTTGACTGGGTTACTCTACATCAGCTGCAGGCTTTACGCGCGTGCAAACTGACAAATGTATAAATTACAAGTTGATAATCAGAAATAAACTACACAGACAGACAGTCAGACAGATTTTTATTCAGTATAAGGCCTTCGGCCCAAAATACAGAAAGTTCACGGTTACAAAATATCCCTTCGCATAATATATATTTATACAAACATTAATGTGAAATCAAATTAATCTGAAAATAAATTGCCTTTACACGCTTAATGGAATGGTATTTATGTTGAGCACACTGAAAGTAAAAATTGGGAAAGCTTATTGTCGATATATTTCAACCTTCGACAACAAACATATATATCATATACCAAAACGCCGTTCGTTCGCAGTGCCAGGGTACAAAACAACACGTGACCATCACATCTCGCACGTGGTGTCAAAGTGAAAAAAAACATGGCCGCTTACTAACGAAGTTAGCGAGAGTTACATGGAAAAACGGGGTAATTATGAAACACTTTCATTTGTTTGAACATTTGATGAGGGTTTGATGATTCTTGAAACTCACTTTCTTGATTTACCATGGAGTTGACAGATGACATTGCTTAGTTATCAAAATATCGGAACTCGCACAAGGTGACATCAGAGCCCGATGTATGCCTTGGCGGGGTTTTGTGATGTATATATTTATTTATCGAGACAATTTAAATCGTTAGGGTATGTTTGTGGGTTATCAAAGCTGACAAGGATGGGTGGGGAGGGGAGTGACTGGATGAAGCAGAGGGTGTAAGGGGAGATGGGTACCTACCTGTCTGTGTCACATCAGACGGCGTGAAGGATGGCTCATACTGTCAGCCATCAAGGCGGTTGTCTGACCAAGACTGCAGTTCTTCACAAACTGTTTTCAGAAATCCGCAGGACACCTAAAAAACAACTACTTTTGGTGAAATTTTAGAATATGTTCGCCCACAAAGTTAGGTTTGGGTAAGGGTTGGAGGGTTAGGAGCGAGTATATTCCATAGGGGGTAAAGTTAATGGAGAATATATGTTATAGGGGCCCCAACTGTCCCCAGTCTATTGATTCCTGCAATGTCTCATCAGGCCTTGCAAACATATAAGTGTTGATTATATGGGGATATT